TGAGATCTTTCCTTTTTGAATATAGGCATTTATACTATAAGATCTCTAATCAGTATCTGGAGACACTCCTTGATCTTCTAATCATTTTATCCATTATTTAGAGTACTGAAGTCCCTGATTATTATTGCTATATTGTCCTGTTATTCATCTGTGCCAGTTTAGCTTTATGTATTTGGGTGCTTTGTTGTTAGGTATATATATAGCCTCTCTTGCTTTCTTATGGTTGCTATTTACTTGTCTTTTCTATCCTTTTAGTTTCAATCTGTTTTTAGCTCCTGCGTATTGCATGCATATTGCATGAGTTGGCTGTCTCTCATTATTTTCTTGTGTATTCATTTTGACAAACTAAGAATTTCTAAATGACAACAAAGTCCTTGAATTCTTTTCTATGTAACAAAATGACATTTCCTATGAAAGAATATATCAAAACCCCAAAGTCCTGGAATTAGTTTCCCAGTGACAATTAATTTCCCAATCCTTAGCTTTTTAGTAGGACAGTAAACTGAAGGTTAGAATCTTAGCATCTAAAGTTTGGTGAGAGCTAAAGATGTTACAGTGGAGGAAGAGAATTTACTATAGAAAAGTATTAAGCTACAAGTATTAAGGACACTAACCACAGTTAGAGAACCCTAAAGGATACTTCAAGGCTTCAGGAAAGATCTTCACAAAAGATATATTTGAGGATGTTTTGTACAACCTGGGAGAAGGGAGCTCAATTAGCACTGAAGAGATTGTGACTGCAACTCCAGGGCAAGACAGACAAACAGAGTTGCCCTGGCCAAAGGCAGTTCACAGTTGCTGGACAAGCAAGAAAACCAGAGAGAGAGACACAGGAGAAAGAAGGCTGGCTGGCCTGCAGGTGAGCAGAGGGAGATGGAAGCACTGTTACACATAAAATACATTAGGAGGAGCAGGGACAGTGCTCACCAGACCTTGAGTCATTGTCACTCCGAGGACCTGTTCTGAATTCTTGACCCCCATAAACCATGCAAGATGATAAATATTTATTGTTAAGCAGGTTTTGGAAAAATGTGTTCTGTTACAATGGGTAACATACATTAACCCAACCTAAAAGTAACTTTCTGTCCGTCTGGTTTTTCCCTCTTGCTACCATTTTTTCTCTCTTTCTCCTTTGCTCACCTTCAGTCGCCCTCAAAGCGGAGCATTAGGCTGTGTTGTATGTACATGAGACTTTCCAAGGGGCTCATGGGTGTGGACCATTTTAGGAGCTACCAGTTTCCGGGTGCTCAGCCTCACATTTAATCTTTCCCAGAGCTGCCTTGCCCGGGAATAAGCCAGCATTTGAAGCTC